GCCTCCCGCCGCAGGTCCCGCGGTCGCGGCCGGGGGCGAGTCAGGCAGCCCGGACCGAGCTCCGTGAGTCCTCTCCGGGGCGTCAGAACTTATCTCCGCCTGTAAAAACTCATTTTAGATGAAAGCGTAAGAGGGTATTTGGCATCTTCCATCGCTTGCTTCCTGGCGTCCGGCCAGGTACGTGCTGCACAACCACTGCTCCCAGTTCGGATTTATTTTCTAACTTCTGACTGTTGATAAGGAAGAAAAACACTTGAAATCTGGCATGACTCCACCCCATTTAGTGGCCCACTGCCTTTTTCTTGCATCCCAACTGGCTGATAACTTGCAAAAGCTGATCTGTTGTTGATAGGTTGTCTGTGTTGGTATTTACCAGTTTGAATCATAAGAGGGATGGGTGGTACCAAATGTGCCACGAACAACTGAACCCACCAGAGCATCTCGGGAGCACAAATATCGCCAGTGATTGGGCTTCAGTATTACTTGATGATGCATATGGGCTCCAGTAGTTGCCCCCACTTCACAACTGCCTGGTAGGATAACAAATGCTAATTTTAGTAGTAGAGTTTGTGCCCCTATCATGATGGGCTTGTTACTTGCTTACTTCCTTGTGTTCCAGGGAAAGGAAAAGATAGATCTGAACAGAACAATGGGGTTTCTCCTCTGCCTGCAAATGCCAAACTGTGAAAGATACTGGCGTTGCACTGGGCTGTTGTGCAGGGAAAAAAAGGCTCTGTTAACAGGTGCCTTCTCTTACGTTAGTGAAGGTCTGTGTCAGGCATTATGGTTAGAGTCCTTGGATAACAGGTAAGTCTTAGGGCTTTTTAGGTTGAAGGAAAAATAAAAACAAACAAAAATTAGTAGGCTGTAACTTCCACAAATCAAGCACAGTTTTATATGTTCCTCCAAACAAATGCTGCTGTTGTGGTATTCTTACCACACTGACCCTCCTAGCAAACCAGGCTGTTTGAGTTCTCTTGTTTCTCAGCATCCTTCAGGGAAGGCTCAGGAAGCTTAGTCCCATCTGAACCTATGTATGCTTTCCATCTCTGCATCATCCTGTAGCAACAAATTTTGCTAGACTTGGTGGGAAATGTTTGTATCATCAGGAGTCTCTCTATTCTAGCATAGGAAAGAAAGTGAATAATTTTCCCCATTAGGTTTCTCTGAACTGTTAATGACTTTACATGTTTTCATAATGTTATTCTACCTCTTTCCACCGGTCATCTCCCTTGCTTGCATCTGTGCTCAATGGAACCGTCTTTCTTCCTCTTTCTGTACCTGCTGTCTGTGCCTGTGTTCCCCTTTCCTACCTCCCCAGGGCAACCAGAAATGTAGTAGAGCCTGCAAGATGCAACCACAAACCACCTTTGAAGAGTGAGTGAATAGTTACTAGTCCAGCTGCCAATTTGGAGTCCAATCCATAAGGACTTCAAAACGTCTAACCTCATTCTATACAGTTACTGTGCTGTTATAATATTTACTCACTGTGCATCACCTTGCATTTACCAATATTGAATATTTTCTGCCAGAAATCATACAAGATGGTAAGTTCTTTCTGTAGGTCTGTGCAGTTTTCTCAATAAATAACTTACAAATACGTCAAGGAAAAGAAATCTTAGCCTAACCCCTTTTGTGACCTTACTGGTAAACTCCCTTCCTCACAAAAAAAATGATAACTTATTCTTGTTGTTTTGGGTTTTTAATCTGATTGCTAACATAGGAAAGAATTTCCCCGTTTTATAGTACCACTTAGCTTCTTTGGGAGTTTTCAGTAAGGGACTTTGCTCAAACCTTAATTTCAAAAAATGTTTTAACAGTCAGCCAGATCAGCTGTAACCATGCAGGTATCAGTTCTTTCAGATATTTAATTAAGCTTGTCTTCATTCTTCAGAAGCGGTGTTTCATTCTTCCTCGTTTATCATGAAGGTGATATACAAGATAAAGTGATGCAGAAATGGGACTCCCAGGATTCTGTTCAGTGGATGCTACCACAGATTTTCATGGAGCCAGATCTGTGAGCAGAACAGATTCTGGTTTTGCTTCTGGTGGTGAGGTATTAATGAGGTGCTGTTGACTTCCTGTCCAGCCCTGGTAGCTTCTTACAGATTGATATCACATGCAGCACTTGATTTCTTCAAAACTAATTTTACATAATAGTTTTTGAAGGAGATAATAAGATGAGTAGTTTGAATTTCTTTAAACCTTTTCTGTAATAACTGTACAAATTAGTTGGTTAGTATTCCCTTTCAGAAGTTCTAAAGTTTAATAAGTTCCCTTATTAACTTGCCTTTAATAAATTCTCTTGCTAACAGTTGGGTTTGGGATAGAGTAGTCCCTGGGAAAGAATGATTCCAGGACGGAAACCTTGCTAATCTCTTCTATTGTGGATATTTAAATAGTAGTATCATTTGCTTTTTCTACTGTGATTTTTTTCCTCTGTACTGCTACTTCCTACTACTTTTCCTATGAGTTGGTGGTGTTATTTATTGTAAACTGTTAATATAGTTTGGCCCAGTTCTTTATTATATGTATTTCATACTTACGATGTACGGGATGGTTAGCGAAGCATGATAATATTATACAAACTATGTCTTTACAGACCAAAGGCTGTCATTCTTTCTTTCCCCCTTAAGTTCCAAGAGATGCCGGTATTCTACAGGGCGTGAAAATCTGCAGCGTCAATGAGAGTATCGTCACAGAATAGCTTTCCTTTTAATTGCTAACATACTGCATTAGTTTGGGACTTAATAAGGTGCATTTATTATGCATGTATCATCAAGTGATCACCCATGAGAGGGATGGGTGGCAAGATGGGACGGTCAATAAACACTTTATTGTTGAGTTTATTTACCTATGAGAAAATCATGGATCTTCTGTCTGGCTTCCTATTTTGTATAGCATTTTGTATAGCTTTTCAGCCTTGCTAGGAAGGTAGTATGTAGCTGAATCTAGACGGCAAAATGCGCATAACTTTTTCAAAGAATTTTCAGAAGTTCTTTGCAACGAGCCACTAAAAGCTGTAGCTGGCCCATAACAAAAAAAACATTCAGTAAATTTGGATGCCTCCAAGAAAATCAGGCTTTGGGCTCTGTGCTAATATCCATTTATAGTCCTGGATTTGCCCCTAGAGCATTTGTTTGAGAAACAGGTATTGTCATCATTGGGTTGGGGTAATACCCGGTATCAGTACAGG